AACTTCACTGTGCAGCAGCTGCATGGGAAATATTACAAGACACGGCCTCTTCATCTATGCAGTGGTGGAAAGTAACATTTACTTTGAAACAATTTCGAACATTTCCATCTACTTTATCCTCTTCCCCAGTACATTTGTATTCCTATGTATGTTTAACTTATGTGAAGTGTCTTTGAGTACCATGAAAATGTATTATTACATCTATTTAAGAGTACTATGTATAGTATAGGTATAGGTATGGCTGGAGCCCCATAGAGAGATGAAACTACAAAGTTGGCCAGCTTGATCTACATTCTCCTCCTTCTGTAGGATTGTATCTGATTAAGCATTAACTAGGACCCAGTGTTCTTGTTTTATCAATCATCCATTCATGGATCCTGGGTTTTAATGTTTTGATCTTTCTCTGTGTTACAGAGGTTGAAGTGATATCACAGCAACTAAAAAAAATTAAAAAATGTAAAAAGCTGTACCAAAACACTGGCTTCACACAAACACCTATGAACCTTTTCATAGAAGACACTGTCTTACACCCTTTGTCCACAGAAAGGCAGGGGTAAAAAACACTGGTTAAAATGAGATTTTTACTCTCAGGAAATAGACTGCTGCTTAGTGCTTTTTTAAAAGTGTTTATTCTTTATTTCTCCTTTTTGTTTACAATACAAGGGGCCAACAGCACTTACATAAATGCCTCTGTACTGAACTGTACCTGAACCCTTTCTAGTCCTTTCATTCTGCATTTCAGGATCTCAAAATGTTATTAAAGAAATCCTCTGAATGGACTGGGGCCATTCAGTTATGACTACTTTTACCTTTGATACTTTAAAGCAGCTACAAGGAACTTTCATTTTGTGTTAATTCTGGCGGGCCTGTGGACAAAAGCGGTAGTGTTTCCACCACCTTGTTTCATTGATTTCAAGGGGAATCTGACCAAATCTGACCTGGTGCAGGCATTAAGAATAACTATATAGAAACAGTCTTCTCGCTGATGGCGCTGTTTGTTTATGTAGGTCACATAGAGGCATCATTATTAAATTGAGACTGTTTCATAATCAGTTAAAAACTCCTTGTAGTGTGTTTAAGTACAGCTTACTACTCCTTTCATTTCTAATGAAGTAAAACTTTAACACAGAACTTTTACTCACTTCTTCCACGGCTGCATCTACATTTGTCCAGTTTGCACAGACTATAATTGTAGGGTTGTTCCAGGCCAGTCACACCATGAGAAGCTGATTATACTGCAGCTTTCTTTTAGGTTTGTCAAAATGTAATTAATTTGTTACAAAAGGTGGGATTCCGTTGCACAAAATGTCACCTGAACATCTGACACTTAAGAACTGACAGCTTAACTGGCAAACAACAATACAGGCTCCGAACAGCTTGGTTAATTTGAAATGCTCCTGCCAGAGTCTTAACAAGGAACAGCAAAATTACTGTGAGAACTGGAGAGGGTAATTGGATTCTTTAACCTGACACTGATACGGATTGTGAAAAAACTAGGCAATAGATCAAAGAAAGATCCTGGTGTTCTTTTACTCAACACTTAAAAGTGATGACCCAAACTCAAACAGGAGTCCAACTGCAGCAGTCGAGCGAGTTTGAATATCAGTAAACAGTATCAACAAAAGTCAGCAAAAACTGCCAGAGCACATTCCTCATCAAGGCACAATCAAGGACGTGTCAAATTTTCTTCACTAGACTTTTTCTGTCCGCTGCCTTGTGGCGGCAACTTGTGTATCTTTTAAATTAAATCAGTGTATTGTGTAAATTCCATTACATGAATGTCAGAGATAAGGTCAATTTGAGTTTCTAGTCATTTCTCAGTGGAAGTTTTTCACCCTCAAGGTACAAACTTTACATAAGGCATGAACAAATTAAAATAGGATTGGACTAAGCATCAGAATCTGCTCTGAATACAAACACACACACACACACACACACACACACACACACACACACACACACACACACACACACTTGGGCATCCTGTTTTACCTACTGTACCCTTCATCCATCTCACCTTGTAAGGACATTTATCATCCTCATACATGCAGGCACATGTAACACTACACACACACAACCCTTGTGACAAGCAATTTTTCACAAGCGTGTACTTGCACAAAGCAAACTAGGATCACTGGATCAGAACACAACACCAAGACTTGCACCCATCTGCAAAGCATGTTGAGCTGCTAACAGCGAGCCTGAATCTAAACTACAGCTGAAGCAACAGAAGCTGACGGAGGGGCTGACAGCACTGATCCTCCTCCTCCTCCTCACTAGGACACTGACCTACAGACAGACAGACAGATAGACAGCATGGCCCTTTGTGCCCACTGACAATGGTGATCTGTCCCTCCCTCGGATGGGCTGATCTCTGGATGAAGCCCTTCACTTTCTGCTCAGAGGTGGTGGGTACAGAAGAGGCACGGGTGAGAGGAGTGTCAGCTCAGAGACGGTCAGCTCAGATGGGCGACAAAGAGAGGAAGATGGAGACAGACTATATATGTTGGTATCCAAACTTTATTAGGTCAGTTATGTATGTTCGATTATATGAAAATATGCTAATTATTGGCCTGCAAGCACATATAAGCGATAGGAACACAATCACAAAAATGATGATTGCCACTGCCACCCATAAACTACTGCCTGACCGAACAAAGGCTGTGAGCAGACTGCGAGCAAGGTCACAACACTGCCTTCTACCAAGGAAAACTTGAAATGTTTAATGTGCATTCAATAATACAGAGGTCTTGGACAAGATGGACAGCATACTCATATTTTTTCTACTCTACAAGTAGCAGGACTAATAGGAGGAAGGGCAATGGTGTCATTAAAATCAAAATGGTTTATTGCCTTGGAAGCAAGAATGCAAAAGCAAGTGAATTATACAGTCTGATTATGTCATTTTATGAATATCTTGTGTCCAACATATTTATTTTGGCTCAATGATGGCACATTAAGTACTATCAGGGATATTTATATTAATCCTTTGGGGGCTGTGAATATCCGCTTAGACAGAGCCAGTTGCTGCTACGGACCAAAGTGATGGACAGACAGACAGACAGACAGACAGACAGACAGACAGACAGACAGGCAGACTGGCAGCTGGCAGACTGGCAGACTGACTGCAATGTCTGCTACCAGAAGAAGAATTATTAACTCAGCACAGTGATATAGCCAACTTTGTTGCAGAAGAATTTCAGCTAACCAGCTATTTTTAGTCTTCCACCCCCCACCTTCTTCACCTCCCATGGAAACCGGCAATGTAGCCTTTAGTTGTACAGTAGCTCTTGAAGAAAATTCTACACAAACTTTACAATCTGCAGCAAATAACCCTCAGACAACTCAGACTTAACAACATTTAGAGATGCTTCAGTGAGGATTTTGTAACAGGAGGAGCCAACCAATTGGACAATCTCTCAAAACCTTGGTGCACTCCTTTAAAATCAACATTTTCAGTCGCACCAGTGCAAACATTTTCCACTCTGGGAGGCAGTTAAAATGCGACACAGACAGATATTGTCCCCTGGATGTCGAGATGTTCTCTGGGATGGTGGGTAGCACTGGACAGAGGGGGAGCGGGGACTATTAGCCAGCTGTTCAGGACTCTTACAGTAGTTCTATTCTCTCACAACCCACCAATGAGCCATTACTCACGCCTCTCATTCCTCCTCCGTTACTCTCGCTCTCTCTGCCCCCCATTGGTAATGTCACACAGAGGAAACATGGCAGAAAGAGAGGAACACACTGACAGGGGGGAGATGAGCATGAGGAGAATGTGTGTCTGCATAAGAGTAGGAGGGCAGAGGTCTGACACACGTAACCGCACATTAGCAAACACACACACACACACACACACACACACACACACACACACACACACACACACACACACACACACACAGTGGAGGAGAGACCACAAACAGATTCACACACTCAACATAATGCACAGAGTCAGGAGAGTCCACTTACAAAGTTAAAAGTTCAAAAGAAAGAAAAGGCCTTTCAACACATTGATTTAGTCATGATCACTTTAGAAAATAGTTCTGACAGGTGCCAACACCGATAGATCTCTGCACTGCCTGGCTTCCTCATACACACTGAGTGCTCATTACCCAAAGAGCTTTGGAGGCTGAGGTTATGTTTTGACTTCCAAGATTTTTTTTTTAGACTATACTTAATCTCCTCTTGGACATAATACTGTGTAACTTCCTGCTCCAAATGGAGGTTAGGGAGGCAAGTTCCTGAAAGTTAAAAAAAAGGAGAAAATCGAAACTTTCCTCTTATCTCTGCAGTGTGCAGCGAAGCTGAACAGCTGAACAGGTTGAGCATGATTTATATCTCACATACAGTGAGCCAAGGAAATGGCTTATCCACAGTGGACAGTGGGGGCACAAATAATGGCACTGTCCGGTGACATTTGGAAAATAAAGGATAAAAATATGCAACGATTTCTGTTTTCATTTTAATATTCCTAAAATTATGTTTTAGTTTTTATTTAAATGGAAAATCGTCCTCAATAGATACTCTATACTATATACATTTATATCTAAATCAGTGGTGGAAGATCTTCAGTAACAGTAGTAATACCACAGTGTAGAAATACTATTTTCTAATAATAATCGGAATCTGCAAAGTAACTCTAAAGCTGTCCGTTATAATTAAAAAGTAAATTTCCCTCTGAAATGTAGTGGAGTTGAAGTCGAAAGTAACAGAAAATGGAAATAGTAAAGTAAAGTAGCCTACAACTTCCTCACAATAAGTACTGAACTTGAGTGATACATTCCACCACTGTCTAAAATAAGTCAATTACCCGGGGCGGAAAAAGTCTCTTCAAATGAAGTCTGGTCAAAGAATTAAACAAATGTGTGGTTTTATTCATATTAAGCATGAACTTATTCCACAACAACTGTCTCACATCACACCGTGTCTGCTCCACTCAGGGTGAACGCTTCCCGTTCACCTCCTGAGCAAACAGCTGCAAAGTTAAACAAACTCACCCGGAGTGGATTTTCCAGGATCTCAGCTCTGTGAGCCTGAGGGTTGGTGGTCATATGAGGAGCCGCTTGTGGAGAACTTGAGTTAGTCATGTTTTCCTTATCGTTTAATAAGGAAATAATAAATTTCTGGATCACAACTCCCACTTTCTTCACATCCTTGTCCGCTGTTCCTCACCTCATCCCATCCCCTGCAGCCCGCGTCCCTGCCGCTCCAGTGGAAACTCAGAGGGAAAGTCCCAAAAGGTTTGCGAGGCGGATCAGGAGTTTGTGCTGATTTCAAGTGCAGTCGGGAAAAATACTTTTCGATTAAAGACGTTGTTAACACATCTGGGATAAACTATATATATATATATATTGCCTATGTTAATTTCTTTATTGTTTAGAGAGTGAATAAAAAGTGAGATGTTAAATCATTAGTAGCCTGACTGATGGAAGAAATTATTAAACACAAAAAATTTTTCTAGCCCCTCTTTGTTCGTATTCACTGGCGAGCATCTTCTCTGATCTAGGAGATCACGGGGTGAACTTGAAGGCATCATATGAGAACAGGTGCGGTTCCTGTTGCGCACATAAGAGCGCTCCAGTGCAGATCACCGCACACTGGCGCAGCTGTAATCAACTCATTTATTTGCCTGAAAAAGAAAGAAGTCCCCCAAAGGTCTCCCAGACTTGGCTTAGGGAACCAGTGTCCTAGTTGGTGTTAAACATGTTGCCACCTGCTGGGCACATTCAGGATGGCAGAGATATCCTGGGGACAATCTCCCAGATGGCTGAACAACACATCTGATTTAAGAGAGCCACGTGATGTCCCATTTATTGTTGGGCTGCTGATCGTCTCACCTACAGACAACAGGTGTTTGATTGTGTATGAATCTGCACATTTATTACCACCCACCCCTCATCATCGCTTTTAGAAACCTCATCAGCAGCTGAATGGGAGATACAAAAAAATGGATCATCATAACAAGCGATGATGCAAACGAGGCCGGACACATCAGGAGGACAGTATCTGATCTCCTTTCAGCCTGGGTCCAGGTGAGGGTACGTCACGGTCAAAGGGGTGAACTGAGATACATTGTTGTGTTGTCTTTTATGGGATCTCACTGATCCGGCTTCCTTTCTGTGAATAGATGAATGATGGATGCTTGTTTGTTCTGGTGTGCTCAACATAAACAAAATTATCATGTGCAGATGGGGCTGCTGCTTCCTTTCAAATATAAACAGCCTTTCCTGACACACACACACACACACACACACACACACACACATATACACACACACACACACACACACACACACACTCTCTCTCTCTCTCTCTCTCTCTCTCTCTCTCTCTCTGGTATGAGCTACACTTTACTACATTACATTACATTACTATCACACGAAGTTATAAATATTCCAATGATATTAGTATAAGGATGCATTTTAAATAAAAATCTCAGTGTGACTATATATATTGATTGATACATTATCATTATTGACAGGGACACAATCTTCAGGTACATATGATGGTTTATACATGACAAATATATTGGACATAAGTGAGAATTTCACTTTGAATAAGTTTTAAATTTACAATAAGCACCTGGACTGCCCTTGCCAGATGCTCCCATGCAGGCGCACATTTAGAAACGTTTGAATGGGGAAAAAATTTGTTAAGACTCAATTTCAAAGCCCTGATTCTTGGCAATAATAAATGGAACATTATGAATTGTTTATTCAGTGTAATAAATGAGAACCCAATAAAAAACTTTAGATATTGTAATATGAAAAATGTAATATCAGTTATTAGCTGCTATTTGTAAGTCGAAGTAGCCGCAGAATGTAAGACAATGAGCCCCTGCATGACAGGTTGTGTGTCTTCTATTGTCATTTTGTATTTCTTTTTATTTGTTTTGTTTGTTGTTTTTTGTTGCATCTCTCAGTAATCATTTTTGTGTCTTTTTTCGGACATTTTGCATGTCTTTGTAGTTGTTCTGCTTCACTTTATGATCGCTTTGTGTCTCTTTGTAGTTGTTTGATCGACATCCACTTCATGCTGAGATTATAATACTAACAAGCAATCTACAACTATTATACTTATACTATTATATATTATATGGGGGAGTTCACTGAAACTGTGTAGCAGTTGGATAACTCTCAGCAACAACATGGATTCAGTTTAAAAAGAAGAAGAAAAGAGAGGTCAACAAAGGCTGAATGGTAGAAGTCCTTTCTGTAGGCATATACAGTTTTCAGAGATTACATATACTTAAGATAAAATATAACTCTCTACATACACTAACTCAAATCACAGCAAACCCAACTCAGTCAATCAATCATCAAATAATTATTTCATAACACTAGCACTGTTTTTTAAACAATATGAAATATATATATCGTTTTTTATAATTCAGTTTGTTTCCTTTTACTGCAAACCACTACATTTTCGCAAACATTTGCATTTTTGGCAACATACTATGTCAAAGTGAATGAGTCATCTTTACTTAAAAGACCAGTGTGTAGAATTTAGTTTGGTTATTTAGCATGTTGCAGTAGAGTTGCAGATTGAAACTAACTGAACTCTGTATTTGATGACCTGGAAATGAGATCGAGCTGTAATGTGTGTAGGAGATATTACGGTGGCTGCAAAACACGAAAGAGCCAGTGATCTGGGCTACTGTAGAAACATGGTGGTTCAACATGGCGGCCTCCATGGAAGGTAACCCACAGCATCGGTGAGCTCATTCTAAGGCAATGAAAACACAAAGATTATTATTCAGGTGATTAAACACTAATGAAAACATTCCTATGAATATTAAATTCCATTTCTGCCAATGGATCCTCCTAAATGTTACACACTGGACCTTTAATTGAATGTAGAGCAGAATAATGGTGACAGAAATGCTGCAGTAAGAGCTTTATTCGTGACACAAAATTGCCACCAGCGATCATCAAAAAATCCAAAATACAATGCCTTTGGTTCCAAATATACTATCAGTGACAACAGTTCTTTGTCCCCTTTTACAGAAGCCACATATTTATCTATGTGGGGAGCATGTAGAGAAAGGGAAAAGGTAAGAGTTGAATAAAGTTGCTGAAAGGCTACCCGAGTGTCTCCCGTCTGTTAGATCTTCACAGTACATGAATGTATCCTGTTACACTTTCATCCTCAGACGGCAAAGTGCTACCAGAGAATCAGGAGGACACAGTGGTCCAGCACTAACTGTCAGAACTAGAGGGACCCCAGAAATAAATTGCAAGTAGCCATGCAGTGCAGTGCCATTCTTTTGTGTGAGCAGACCTCTACCTTTAGAGGATCGTAATGTTCCAATTATTGTCGTGGAGCTGCCTCTGTATTTAGGTCACCCTGCTGCTATTGTTACATTATTGCTTGACATCAGAGCCAATTAGTGCTCATCATGTCGAGCACATAGACTGCAATCAGATGGAGGGGGGGGGCGTAATAATTTGTTGATATGCTAAATGTATAAATACTGTACTGACAGTCACAACTCTCAGAGCTGGACGCGTCTTCAGTTTCCATCTGTATTCATTCTGCTCCTTCAGTGTCTGCGCTCTGTCCTGAGTCAGCCAGCTTTCTCTGCCATAATAATCAAGGTCCATTTGATGTGATTACTGTGGCGTGAAGGGGAAGAGAGTAGACGAATGAAAGCACATTTTATTTCACATGCCAGAATAACATGACTAAACAGATTCCCCTCTTTTACTATTTCTGTAAATCTCTTCGGAGACTGCTGGTTCATCCATCAGTGCTGGCAGGGATTCACAGTGAGCTATGACTGACAGCTTTTGTCATGAGTAGAGGGCTGTGGCATTTTCCCCAGCGGTTATGGACTCCCCCTGGCGATGCTTCATATGACACCCTGATGTTTTCACTCAAGGATGAGGTCAGCATATTGTTGAACCTTGACCTCAAACGTAGAAATATGCGTGAGGAGAGAGGAAAAAGAGTGGATGTGAAATGTTGAGAGAGCCACACAAAGGCGGCGAGGGAGTGGGAAAGAAAGCAAAAGAAGGAGAGAGAAAGATAAAGGCAGCCGAGCAAAAGATAGGGAGCAGCAGATTTAGTCGACACAAAAAAAACTCCTACACACTCTCACTTGAGCCTGCACCTCAGGCTTTGAAGGAGAGAGGAGATAGAGAGATAACCACATCCTCTTTTTACATTCTCTCTTCCTCCCTGTCTCATTCTCATTTTGTCCTCTCCCTCCACCCTTTATCTACCCCTTCCTCTATCTCTCTCATACACACTAACTGAAAGTCTGAAAATGTCATCTTGGCTCCCTGAAGGGGATAAATGGGCTGATTGATGTATGATTATGGAATATGAGATTTGAAAACGAAGGCTTGAAACTGTTAGAATGATTAAAAACTCTGTAATTGATGGGTCCCCTTAGAGCTTAGTGCAGTTCCTCACTGAGAAACCTTTACTCCACATCCCAGTCTTAAAATAACCACTATGATTTAAATTCCTCTGGAAATGAACTAAACTGAAATATACGTGCAGCAAAGCGGCTTTAGTTTAAACTGTTTTTGACCCAACTAATGCATCTTTCAAACCAAAATCGACATGGTTTTGTTCAAAAGGGCAAACACAACAGTTTGTTTCTTGTGATTTAAGGTCAGAGCTTGAATTTCGAGCCATAGATCATTTTAATACTGAGGACATTTTATTTCCTTTATCTAGTGTTCAGCTGTCAGGGCTTAGACGCAACAGTAAAGCTGTCTATTATTTTATGATTAAATTTATACTGGGGTTCTGCAAAAGTCTCCATTAAAAGATATGAGACGTGAATAAAAGCCTGCCAAGAGTGTGCAGAATCTAGATGATGGTGATTGAAAATGCAGGAGGTATTTTATGTGACCAAAACAGGTTCTGTTTTATCAGTTTTTGCAGCCTGCCCATCATTTAAGTTAGAAGATGATTAGGTCGCAGTTCAGTAGAAAAAGTTCCAATCGTTGTTGTTTTTAACTTTACATTATTGTTTGTAATGATGGAAATTAACTACATTTATTCAACTACTGTACTTTTTCACCCCACAATCAAAAATACATATTTTACTCTTACCTGTAGTGCTATTTATATCATCTATATTGTTTTAGTGTGAGCTGTCGAGTTTTGGAGATATAGAGATGAGGTAGATGTCAGACATTTTTCCAATATAAAGTATATATAATATAAACCAGATGGCTCTCAGCTTGAGGTAGGCTACTCAAAGCGTCCACATTTTTTAT